TGTTTGGCTACCATTCATTACATATGCAAGCACCTGCATGCTAAGGAATTTTTAAAGTAGCCAGCTCTTGGCTACTGCTGTACAGGAGGTAGGTGATTTGCATTAAATGGGTAGTGGAATTTCAAGCCATATTGCACAAAACAGTAAAGGGTCTTTCAAGCTGTCATCCCCACGTTTCCATTCAGTTCATGGTTGTGCAGAGAACTTTGGAACAAACAGCACACTCCTATGTTTATTTAGGTAAAAACAACATCCAGTGTTCTCCAGTCAGTATGTTGAATGGGAGCTGTTGGACTGTGTCCAAAAATGCATAGGACTGTACCCTAAATTACAATGCTTATTCAAGCAGAGATGTTTAAAATCACTGAGTTCCCATTTTTTCCAAAACTACTAGCAGGTATTCCTTCCAACAGCAGGTTCATCAGTATTATAAACTGGACTAAACTCGTTATAGCAGTAAAATGTACTGTTCTATTACAGAATAGTGACTTATCTGCCCTTGGATATCATATAAAAGAGAATAAACACACATATCCATCTTAACTCCCAACTTCATCATACCCCTGTCAGCACACCAATCCTTTGTTTAGTATCAAGGCATGCCTGAAGGTCTTTAAAAGGTCAAGGGGAAATTTGAGAGAGACTGCTCTTCATGAGGTACTGCTATGTTTCACCACAGTGATAATCTACTCCTTGGTATTCTCTCCAATAAACATACAATAGTACACACTATGTAACTCTAAGAACTGTGGTTTTGAGAAACAAATGTACCCAGCACTGAAAATGGTGTATCAGAATTGGAAGAAGATCAGAGCTGAATGGCTTGCATAGCCTTACTTGTTTGCCCCAAGAAAGAATATTTTATGTCTGTTTACAATACCCATGATAGGCTTGTCTATCTTTCCTTGAAGGCCTCCAAGGAAAGAGAAACCACAATCTCTTTAAACAGCTTGTTCCAAGTCTGAACAATTCAAATAAATTTTACTGAAGTCTAATCAGACTTGTCTGTACCTTAAAACTTGTTGCTGCTTTTCCGGTATTGATAAAGTCCACCCAACCACAATGTACTTTGGATGGTTCACAATGCCCATGCACTGTGTGTGTGTGTGTGTGGGGGGGGGGCGTTCTACCTGTTGTCATCACAATGGGAAGTTAGGGCTTTCTGAAACAACCAGAAACAAAGTGAAATACTAGTTTCCAGAATGGGACAAAAAGAAAAAGGAGTTCTACTGACCAGTCCAGTTACCTGGAAATTAGTGTTTCAGCTCATTTCCAGGGCTGTTTCAAGGAAGCACAAGCTTACTATTGCACTGACATGTGATCCAGTGGGTGCGACAGACTGAGAAGAGGCACAATACCAATACTGAATATGGCAATGCAAAACAACTTTAAAATTTATCAGTAGAGAAATAAAATCAGCTTCACCACAGAACTAGGAAAATAGGAAGCTGCCTTATACTGAGTTAGACCATTAGTTCTTCTAGCTCAGTACTTTTGACATGTATTGGCAGAGGCTCTCCAGGGTTTTAGGCAGTTTTTCCTACCCTATCTGGAGACTCCAGGTACTGAACCTGGGACATTCTCATGCAAAGAATGTGCATAACAAACACAATGAAAAAATACACAACACAATTCAAGATATTAAGATAAGGTTCACAAATGACTATAGAGGAAAGAACCTACCAAAACTCTTTGTGGAGGGCATTCCACAACCTGGAAGACATGTTGAGAAGGTCTTCTTCCTGGTAGCCACACAGCTCTGGGGAAACTCAGAGCAGGGCCTTTCAAGAGGATCTCAAAGTTCAGGGAGGTATGGCATTTTTCAGATACTCTAGCCCCCAAGCTGAGGTTATCCTATTTTTGAACTACCTCAGTGATGGGGATTTGCTGAAACTATAAACCAACTTTGATGTCAGAAAGTAGACAGCAATTTCTTCTACTCCCAATCCAGAAAAAAGACCATCTCCTCTCAACTTGCTCATAAAAGCAAAGGAAGAGCTGTCAGTCAGCCCTGCAGAGCAACCACCCAGAGCGCCTTGGAGAACATGGAGATGGGGGAAAAGATAAAAAATGGAACAGGTTGCGGATGTTAAGTTGCTATAATTAGATGATCAGGAATCAAGCAGTTCAGAATGACAGCTCTTTTCCCTGAATAGAGATGACCAAACACATTAAAATTGAAAACATATTGAAATCAAGAGGTTTCATAAGCATGAAACACTGACATTCAAGGAGATGCTAACAGGATTTGAGAGCAACATCTTTCTGCCAAAAAAAAAAAGTTGGGGTGCTTCAGATTTCCTACTGAGCTATGAAAAATCTGAAAGCACTTTTGAAATACCAATGGAAATGAACTGAGCATGAAAGTATTAACAACATTGACTTTGAAGAAACACAGCCAGTTCAAGCAAATTACTTTTCAGTTTTAATTTTATTATTCTATTGGCTGCTGCTTTTTATATTTGCTTTTGTGTAATTCCATTGTAAGATTAATGCTTTAAATATTGACATATATGCAATATCCTATAACTACATAACACTTACATGTACACTTTTAAAATACGACTGCCATTAAAATATACTTTTTCTGAATAAGTCCATTTTGCACAATAGGATGGGGGTGCAGCACCCGTTTGAGCCTGAGGGCTGAATTACATTTCAGAAAAGGTTTTGGAGGTTCCATTCCAATGGTGTGCAGGGATGGTCAATGAGGGTGCCACAAAAGGGGAAAAGCCAAAATTCCAAAAGTATTAACATATTTCAGCTTAAAGCACTGTCAGTGGCTAAGCCTGAAGAAAAGCATTTTAACTTTTCAGAATGGAAAGAGGGGAATCACAAAGCTGAAAAAACACACAGAAAAATGTTGGTTGGTGGAAGGGGAAGGAAAATGGGGTATGGTCATCAGGGCAATATGAGAAGGTCAGACTGGCATGCCGAGAGGACCAGATTTGAAGTTTTTGAACTCCTGCTGCAAATTATTGTACTCCCAGTTGACTGCATTAGAAGATATATATAATTGATATAATTGTTAATGCCTAAGATTTTTTCTGAGAACCTTTCTGGAAGAGAAAGAATTGCTCTCCAGTAGGTAAAAGGGAATATGCCAGCTAGCATACTCCTTATTAGTTGGCTTCTATTCCAACATAGTAACACAGGAAGAGTTTACATATTCATTCAGAGATATCACTTCCCCATTGAGGTAGGTAGGTTGGAGTCAGGTAGTGAGTTTCTTCCAAAGATCTTCCAGACTGGATTCTACAAGTCAACAAAGCTCAGATTGGTAAAGATTGACTGCTTGCACACTTGATAGTCAAATGTGCACAAAACTTTGCTATTCATCATATGAAATGTAGCACCATACACTAAAAAGATAGTGTCTACTGTTGTTTCACATATACTGCAGTCCTGATTAGTTTGCAGATTTATATCATATCTCCATCCATTACTCAAAAGCAAAGTGAATCTATAGCCAGCAATGCCAGTAATATGGACACCTCACAAGAGTAACGACGACTGAATTACAGACTACCACAATCCCATTTTTTAGGTAGTACACTGGAACATTATTAGATGTAATAATACAGTTTAGAAAACACAAAAGCATAGTTCCCATCTAATTTAATTATCAGAATGCAGAACTGCTATACCATGCTCTTCTTGCAAAATCTAGCAATAAAATCCTTCTCTGGCTCCTAAAATCATGCAGATAATATGAAATTAGCTTTTGACAAAAAGAATGAGAGCAGAAAACTATGGCAAGCTTAATCCCTTTTATTCATCTTGAGACATTTAATGCCGGCTTTATCAAAGAAACTCTGTTCCAACATTTGCCTGTTCAGGAGCAAGCAACTTAAAGCCAAGCTCAGGTGAACATCCATACATCATTCTCCCCCTCCTGCTCTCAATCATATTCCCACAACAACAACCCTGCAAGGTAGGTTGAACTGAGAGTCTGTGGCTGGTCCAGTCACCCATAAAGGATTGGATTCCCATATTCTTTCTGGTTAGTGGCAGGTCCATGGCCTTTAACATGACCTGCCAGCTAGCTGCAGAGTCTAGTGACATTGTAATCCCAGTAACCCAGAACTGTCATTTGAGAGAGGAACAAGTTTCACATAACAACTTGCATCATGGCTGTTGGGCACTGTGCATTTCTCATATTTATTAGAAAGAAAAAGGAGTTTAAATCTGATTACAGTGCCTGCATACAAAAACTCAAGCACATATTTATTTATTTATTTATTTATTTATTTATTGGGACTTCTATGCCACCCCATTCGCCGAAGCCTCGGGGCGGCTCACAATATTCTCTACCACTTTTAATAGTTTAATTGATTTTAAAAATTAGTTTCTTTTTTCATCCCTCTACTAAAGAAGGCTTTAGCTGCATGGTAGCTGGTTTAATTTGCCTGCACTGATATCATTACCAGAAATGGCCACTGGCAACATTGTTTTCCTACACCATTTGACTCATTCCCAGATTGCACTATGCAAATCGCATATTAAACTGCCTTGAGTTATTTACTTTCTAAATTTGCACTCTTAGGAGAACCCTAAATATTTTTAAATTTCTTGCTCTCCAATCTGCTAGAAGTTCCTTTTAAATTACAGGCTTGATTTGACAGTTTATGTCACTTAATGCTGAGAATTATAAGGTGATGAATCTTGGACTATTAAAGAGTATTCAGATGGAGGAAAAGCAAGAGCAGCTGCAGGTATTGCTGCTGACTCACCTGGAATGTCATTGCTTCCAGAACACTACAGAGAAGCTTATCTTACTTAGAGCATATGTAGTCAATTGTCTAGGAAGGAAGAACCTGTAACGCTTAGACATACAATTACTTGCTAAGTATTTCACTGAATGACTCTAGCCTTCCACTAAGAGCAAAAGCAACAGGTCACAGTATTTACAGACCCTGAACATAATGCTACCAACAATATTGTACACATCCAGATATGCAATTCTGAGTCCATGCCATGCTGAGGATTCTCAGTCTTACCTGCACAATATCTAGCACCATCCCAGCAGCTACTGTCCCAAACCCTGCCAGCAGGAAAGGAAAGAGGACTTGCAGTCCAATGGAAAAGGAGGTCTCTTTGAGAGGAGAGGTTGGTTCTGGACCTCGGTCTGTACTGGTGTCATCGCTCTCAGTAGTTTGACTGCCATTTTCCAGCAGGGCATCCTCCTCACGCACCCCTTTGGCATTGGCTCGGGATTCAATCACCACCACCTCTACTTCTCCTTCTTCTTCAGGTCCTAAAAACTCAGAAGATTCGACGAGGTGTTCTCGATCAGGGCTGGAAAGACACTCTATAGGCCCTGCAACAATGGGTAGCACCACTCCATTGGTGTGATGAGCTTCCTTTTGCTCCAGTTTGGATGTCATGGTGCAAGATTATACAGTACTTCTCCAGCCTTCAACCCTTGATACACTACAGAAGGCAGTGGTTAGAGAAAAAGCCTTTTGATTGGGGGTCAAGCCAATATGGCTTGTGGGATATAAATGCTAATCCCCCCAGTTCCACAATACTGTCCTTAGCTGCAAGGCCTGCTCCCTTAACAAAAACCCCCATCAAGCACAATTCAGAACTGGAGGTGCCAACCACGGAGCCAGCAGAAAAACTGCAGCAGCTTCTAGTAAGATCAAATTAACTCTGATTTGCTTTTCCCAGAGTTCTCCCCGCAGCCTAAAATTGTTGGGGCACAAAGTTCAGTATAAAATGCTGTAACTATTTTGCTTCTTTGGTTTGTAACTTTTGGAGAATCTTCTCAAATTAATGTCCTCCTGATTTCAGTCCCAGTTCTTACTGCAACTGCCACGAATATGTCAATTGCTCTTTAAAGTGGATGGAAAAAAAAATTCTTCTGAAAGGCACTTCATAAATTAAAGTCTTTAAAAACAGTTTGAGATTTATTTGGATTCCAGCTTTAAAACAAATAAAAAATAGAAATGGTTTTAATTCAGCCTCCCAGCCAGTTCCTCCTATCCAGAAAGTTGGAAGGATCAGAGAACTGAAAAAAATCTAAGTCTTCAAATTATCTCTCTTCTCCAGAATGGAAAGATTCCTTGCTTTCATGGAGTCCCAGATAATTATGAGGGGCTTCGTTAATGACTTGCCATTTGCCTTCTCACCCTGTCCAATTCCCCTTTCAAACTTCTTGCACGGCAGCCTGGTTATCAGTGGAGGTGAGAAGAGCCACCCTCTTTCTCAGAAAGGAAATCTCATGTGGTAATGAAGGTTTTTATTTAAAGCAACACGAAGTCCCTACACAGGCTTTTGCTACCAGCTTGTCCAGTGCAAGTGCTTAAAAATTCTCCTGTAGATTCTTCAGGGAACTACACCTTAAAAACAGAAGAATGGAAAATACATGATATAACTTTTAGGAAACTACAGAATAACTCTTTCATTCATAAAGTTCCTCCCTCCTATACATTGGTGTATACATCAATAGCTTCACTGTTCTTCTCTAATGCTGGTAAAAAAAAAGGTACGCCTAGCACATGTATAAAAACAGCTGCAAAGGAAGAGGCCCTTATGCTTCCGCTGTCACTACTGTGCCTACCCAGTTTTCCTCTAGCCTTGCACATTAAACACCGTTTTAAATCTTAATACGCCCAAGTCACAGGACACAAGGCACAGATGTGTTCCATGCAGAGGACAAACACCATTGTTCATTGCTGGTGAGCCCATGGAACTGCAGCCAATGAGCATCCTTGAAAACATATCAGGCCAGCACAGGGTAGCTTCAGTGCTTTTCTTCTCTCAGAACAGGCACACATGGCAATTTTAGAGTCCAAAGCCAAAAGCTTGACAGCTTCTGACTGCAACAAGTATGATATCAAGAACACCTAGCCAAAGAGGCATGAATGTGTTAATGTGTGTACACTACTGCCCTCTACTGTGCTTGCGCATTATGCTTTTTAAAAGCCAACAACTATAGAGTAAAACAGCAGATCCTAGCCTAGGGACAAACAATTCCAAGTTCTATTGTCTTTTAGGGCAGTTAAATCCTAACTTGGTTAAGATTTAAAGATCTTATATAAAGTTTAAATGTGTCCTCAAAGTGAAGAGGGCCAGGCATAAGTAAGTTTCTCTGTGGCCGGAGCTGCCACAATTCCGTATATTGGGAGAGAAAAAGGAACTTTCATGATCTATTTGTGTGCAAGTACATGAAATTTTACATCTGACCTATGTGCTGCATATCACTCCAACCAACTACAGTCCCTTATCATGTTTTTCTTAAGTCCCACATAAACATACTGCTGTCAGGATCTGGTATGTAGATCATAAATGAGGCAATAACTATCACCTGTATAAGCCGCAAGTTCATAGATTTTGGAGCCAAAGTCATTTTGAGTAGCCATATTGGCAAGCTTCTATCATTTCATCTAAGTAAGGGATGCTAGCTTTAAGGACTCTGGATAACAGTTTGTAGGTTAAGCAATCCAACTTTACATCAGAAGAAATTTAGAAAGGAAGTGATGCCAACAGATGAGTCAGGCACTGGGTCATTTACCATTAAGTTGCATGACCCAGGTCATTAATGATGCTTTTCCAGGATTCCGAGTAACCCAATGAGTTTCACAAGGATTGCACAAACAGAAGCCTTTCCTGAAAAAAGATTATATGCCATGTCATCTGTTTTAACACCTGGGTGGCCTGGGCAGTCATCTTAAATCTGCACCCATGCTATGAGCAGGCATCAAGTCTGGTTACATGCTTTAGTCATGAACCTGTTTCCTAGCAAAAATAAATAAATAAATACTCCGATTTAACTCATCTCTAATTCAGCTAGAAGAAACACAACTTCTAAACATTAAATTACTAATTAATCCTTATCTCCCGCATCTGATTCTGAGGGGAAGCAAATGCTTTGAAAAACACGCACACAATCATATCCTCTGCCCACAGTTGCATTCCACTATCAGTAATCATGCATCTCCAGCCACACCTCCCCTTCCCCAAAAGTGAGGTGCCCTCACATTCAGGGAAAGGGGGGAACCATATGCGAAAGCAATAGTTAAAACAAGAGAATTGTCGCCCACCCTAATGGGACCCACTCCTCTGCCAACATTACCACCTCAGTCATTATCCTAAATAACTTACTTTCCCCGGCTGGTCCTCCCACCAAAACACCAGTCTGTGGTGCAAGAAGAAAAACTGCTGAGGAGCGAATAAGGGACGGAGAAAAGGCGACCAGGTAAACCCATCCCCTATTCCTTTTACCCCATCCCTAGAAGCCCAAGCGTCTTCAGCTCCGGTAATTACTGTCGGACCTCACTTCTGCCAGAGCAAACCGGTGAGCTTACCTGCGCCCAGCAGCTCCTGCCTCCAGACCCCGGTTTCCCGACTCTCCTCCTGGATTCCAGCCCCCGACCACCTCTCACTACCACTGCTACATTGCAATTGGACCGAGCATTGAGAAGCCGCCGCTACTGCTGCTGCGAGCAGAGCAAGGCAGAGGCGGGCTAGATATAACCTCCTCCCTCACTCGGGGAGTTGACATCACTAGCCACCAATGAGAGCGCGCGGCTTGTACTCCTGTTTGCCTCTGATTGGCTTTCCTAGTAGACGCTAATGACAGTCCAGCCGTGCGGGAGTGGATTGGTGGTCGGTCCAGCCAACCGCAGCAGGGAAGGAGGCGGACTTTAGGAGGTGCCGTCCCCACGCGCTGAGGGGAGGGAGGATGTGCTGCGGGCTTGGCAAGCGGGTGGCCAATCACATTCTCCCTGCGAAAGCCGTGGCATTCCTTTCTGGACAGTTGCTGCAGCTGTTCGGAAGTGTGCGAGCGGGCGGCTGCTTCCCGGGAGCTGTGAGCTGAAAGGGAGTCAGGCTGTCTGGCGTGCGAGGCGAGGCCAGTTCGCCCGGCCAGGGTCGCAGGCCGAGAAATGTGTGTGGGGAGGGGGGTCTACAGTGGGCTCTACCACTTCATCACGTCGGTGGGGGGTAATCTTTGTCAGCGCCCCTTTAGGTAAAGCGAACTCCCTGAAAGAAGAAAGCAGGGCGACTGCCTTTTCCCCTGGCTTTTCGTTCGTTTTTTCCGGGGAAGCATTCATAGCAGAACGTCGTACCTGCAACTTGAGGTGGTATATTTGTTACTGCTTCACGATTCCACCATTTCGTTCTGCTTTGTATGTAGGCTGGGTCGTAGGATTTCTAAGGGGAAAGGGAACGCCTCCAGGAATTAATTTGGGCTATTAAGCAGTGTACAAATGTCAAAAATAAATAAAAATGATCATATTCCCCTTCCAACTCACAAGCAGCAATTGTTGGAGACCAGCAATAGGAACTTAAGGCACAATCCTATGCGTGTTTTGACAGAAAGCAACAACAATCGTGCTGAGAGTTTTAGAACTTCATTCTGAGAAACCCACACGGAATTGTGCCCTTAGAGGTCCAGGAGATCAAAATGTAATGCAGCTTTTAATGGTTTGTGAATAGACACTGATATATATGAACCATTGCATTTTCCCTGTAGGTTGGCACATGAAATGGTTGCATGTACATGCATGTCACCTTATGTGCACACACCAGAAAGATGCCTTAATCGGAGGTACACAAGACGTGATATTCATGCAACTGACAGAATTCACAATGCTTTCCTATTACTTCTCAAGTCTGTTGTTCATATGAACCATTACGCATGAAAACACACCTCTTGGTGCTCTCCAGGCTCCCTACTTTTTCGATTAAGTTTGGTGATTTAAAAAAAAAATGAACTGTGAAGCTGGCAAGTGAAGGGCTCCAGCATCATCTGTGTCTGGGTACAAAAGACTGGTTTTATTTCAGAGTTTATTTCAGAGTTCAGATCTTGTACTGAATCTCTTGGACAAGTTACTTTTCATCTCACCGGTTCGGCTTTTAAAATTAGTATTTTCTGAATGGACATGCTCACTATGACAACCATTTTTTGACTAAACTCTTCCATATTGTGAGGGTGTGCATAATGCAAATTCCAAATGTGTTCACTGACCTAAAAAGATTGGTGAGCTCTGTTCTAGATAAAAGTATTTTCTGTTTAAGAATGTGTGAGACTTCAGTCCAATCTGCCAGGATCACTTCCCAGATATTGCAAAAGGGGGGGGGGGGTTTCCAGATTAAAGGAAATAGTAATAGGATGTGAGCTCTCAACAAAAACATTCCGGTGTATAAATTTAACTTATATCCTAACTGTTTTAAGAGGATGTATGTATGCTTAGGACTGTAGCCTGAGGGTGCAGCCACCTGAGACATGGAAGATCTGTGTTTAGGATCTCTTGCAGTGTTTATTTGCTTCTTTATTTAATAAATAAAAGCTGCCAGAGGGGTAGGATTGGATTGGCTTGTCAGGTCTGGGAGTGTTTTAACTCTTTCCTAGCATCATCCCCTGAAGCTATTTGCCTGTTCCTGAAGGAAGCTTACACGTATCATAAAAGTATGGGTATGCTTTCTTTTAGAAGACAAATAGCAATGTTATGGAAGATTGGAGAAATGATATAAAAAGGGTTAATTACCCTCTCCCAGTGCAACACCAGTGTAACTGCCACCCCACCTGAAACTTCTTTTTAAAGTGAGCCACCCTAATCATAATGTCCTGTCATGCCATGTATAATTTACCCTCAGTTTCAGAACCAATGGTAAATTTCTAAGGCTGCACATAATTGGGAGTGAATCCCATTGTATTTCTGAATACACACACACAATTCTAAATAAATATTGTACTGTAAATAAGGGAAGCAATGACTTAGGCCTTCAAGCTAATTTTTCCTTTGCTCATTCCCAAAAGTATGGGTGGGAATATTCAGTGGTGAGAGGACAATCTGCATTTGCTCAAAGTAATGCTAATTATTGTCAACCCCATATGTTTAAAGGGCTTTATCTGGGCATAAACATTAGTCTGGGTCCGAACTCTGATGAGCCATGGCTTACAACAATCCCAGAATGATTTCCGAAAGCTAGTAGTAAAAGCAACCAGGAAAGCCTCCTTTTAACGCAAAAGGCCCAACATGTAAAGCAAAAAGTTTAAAGGTTCATGGTAGGAAAAGCAGGCAAAACAATGAGGTTAATGAGAGCATATCCAATGAAGAATAGAAAGCTTCTCACCTGCACAGCTACTTTCCTTCAAGGGGCTCAGTTACTAACAATGCAACAGTTATACATGAACTTAGTTCTGCTTACATGTTATTTCTGGTTTCATGTGGAAGGTCCTATAATAAGTTTTCAGCAAAACCAATTTTCTTGAGTCATGGCTATGCCATAACCGCAGTGATGCATGAATCTTCTCCTATACATGCTTATTTGGAAGTGGGTCCCATTCAGTTCAGTGAAGTTTCCCAGATAGCATGCACATATTTCCCACGTTAGTTGAGGAGGACATCTCTTGGCACTACTAGTCAAAAGTTATTGGCCAATTGTTCCATCCTTTTCTCCTTAATGGGGTTTTTTTTTGGGGGGGGGGAGTGGGTGATAAGTATGGGTCAAGCAATGAGGAAGTATGAGTGGGTTACAAGTGGAAGACAGTGATGTCTTGTCCCTTCTGTAAGAATTCATGAATGAGGCAGAGTGAAAAGCTTCATTTGAAAGAACCCAAGTTTTTTGGAATCGTATGCTAAAAAACCCCCTGTAAACCTGTACCTACAAAATCATTGCTTAAATGATATAATTTTGCATTTGCAATATAATATGCATAATTGCTTTTTTCTTCCAAATATTTTGTGTAGAATTTGAAGCTTGGTTTTTTTAAGTTTTGAGACTCATGGAAAAATATGTGGCAAGGGGAAATAAGCAGGTTGAAATAAACAGGAAGCTGTTACAGTTGCCATGATGGTCCTGCCAAGTGGAAAAAAACCACCCAGATTTTTATCATTCACCCAAGTGTGCTGCCTATGTATGTATGCAATAAAAAGGCAGCCAATGCATTTTCAGATTTCTGAAACTTGCCCTTAAACAGTAAACAGTCAGGCTTTGGAGATCCTTGAAAAAGGAACATGGCTGTTTATTTTTTACTCAAATGGAGAGAAAATGTCAGTGTGACTTAAATTTAAATCCATCAATGACTATGGCTAATGACTACATGTCTATTTGATGATGGCAGAGCAGACAGAGAATGCACATAACTCGCTACATCAGCTGGTAAACTGAAAAGCCATCATATGGAAACCATTTCCAGCTTCCTCTGAATGACAGAGATCACCTAGACTGCCTGTCCAAGCTGAAGTCTTATTGAGCTCTGGTATTTGCTTCCAAGTTAGCATGTTTGCATCAGAATACCCTCTGATTTTTTCATGGCCCTATTGTACCACCCTACATCCTCACCTTCCCAGATGTATCAATGCCATTCCTTTCTGTTTACCAGAAGTCTCCCTTGACTCCCTTCTGAAGCAGGACTTGTATCAGAAAGAAATTAGCTTCCTTGTTTCAGATTACAGAGGTTTCTTCTCTTTGCATTTCCCCCCACAATCACCACTGGTGTAGCTGACCAGATTCCTTCCTGCTTTTTATTTATCCAAAAAGTGATCAATTAGAGTGATCCCTCTAATAATTTCAAGGTAGTGGGACATGGAAAGAGACAGGTAAAAATGCTTAACTGCTCAGTGACATGGAGCAGTATGGGAACTGGAGTGAGCTGCACAGGAGATTGAGGAGACCTATTGCTTTGCAAAAAGAGAGTCCTTTCCAGATGCTTGCACAGGGACTGTGGAGTTACCACACAGAGTTCTCATGCAACCCCAAGGGGAAGGGAAAAATATACTCACAGTCATGAGTATATTTCCCCCTTCCCCCATGGATGTACACAAAGAGGTAGGAGCACTGGCTGAGGCTTCAGGTGGCAATCTTCATACAGTGCTCTCATTCCCACTTTTCCATTGCTCCCTGACAAACAGCTACCGTGTCTCAGCTTTGGGCAGATGTGCTGATATTTGTTGCTCTTTACATTCCCTCCATCCCCTTATTTCCATAGGCTGCATTCCTGCAAGTACAGAATCCACTTTATACCCAATTCCATGTAGGTTAGAAGGGAAATTAAATCTGTGAACAGCGTACTTCTGTCTGCCTTTCCTTGGGATGACTAACCTACCTGTTCCATGCAGACTGTTCTTGTAGTAATAGTAATTGTAATGTGCCGTCAAGTCACCTCTTGATGGCACATTAAGCCATCAAGCCTATGGATGAATGAATGCCAAATGTCCTGTCCTTGAGAGCCCTGCACAGCTGTTGTAAAGTCAAGCCTGTGGCTTCCTTTATGGAATTGATCCATTTCATATTTGGTCTTCGTCCTCCTCCTCTTCTTCAGCATTGTCATCGCCATCTATCACCTTCAACATTTCCTTGTATTACTGACTTTTACAGTGACTCTTGCTTTCTCATGCTGTTCCTGAATGACAGATTCTTGCACCCTGACAATCACTATGACAGTCTATTATGCAACAGGTGAATGTGTCCCAACATGGGGGTGGTACCACAAGGGA